GCGAAGGCACTGGTTACAACCAGGCCAGCGGTCGGTTCAGCAGCGGCGGGTAGGAGGGTGACGGTGCCGGCGGCGGGTGGTAACAAGGTCCAACCAGTGTAGGTGCGGGGTGTTGTGTTGTTGCTATAAAAGATGTAGGCCGTGGACAAGCTGTTGTCTTGGGGGGCGGCGGTGAACGAGGCGGGTCGCTGGGACTGTAGGGCGGCTTTGACGGAAGCAGGTTCAAAGCCAAGTGGCTGGCGGTAAGTGACGACCAGTGAGACGGCTTCGGCGACGCCCGTGCCCGTGTTGCTGTCCTCCAGAAACAGGGCAAGATGAGAGGCACCGTCGACACGCAAAAGTTTGGAGAGGGAGGAGACGACGTCGATGGCCACGTGGCTATGGCCAGATGACGTGTTGAACGTGTTAAGATACGGGCGGTGCACGAGTGTAACGGCATTGTCATCCGTTCCCAAGGTCACGCGCCAGGTAGCTTGGAGCAGATTGCTTTGGGCGTGCTCCGTCAGGTTGGACACGAGCAAATGTGCCGAAGCCGGGATCATTGGCCCAAATGCCCCAGCATCCTGAAATCTAAAGAGTCGAGAATTCAAGTCGGCGGGGTCGATCGTGGCCACGCGGGTCACCACCGAAGCAGCTGCGGATTGAAAGAAGCAAAAAATAGATGATAAGAAGACCAAGAGCGAACAAGAACCAAAAAAAAAAACGCAAGAGCAAGCCAGACAGATAACAAAAAAAAAAAAAAAAAAAAAAAAAAAAAAAGGCGTGTGTAAGGCAAGATGAGGCGAGCAACAAAAGCTCAAAGCAGCGCTTCTGAATCCTAGACAAAGCTCCAAAAAGGCACCATGTAGCTCATAAACGCACCAGAAGCCTGACCGGCGGCCGATCGCAAGGCAGAGGGGGCTGTGCCACGAATGTAAATATCGTTGAGATCATTATCGCTTGCAGAGACCAGATCTAAGTAGGTTGTGGCACTGGTGGATACTGCAAGCATTGATGGGCACCAGGCAAAATAGATACGTGGAGAATGAATACACTTCATCTGTCAGTCTTGTTTCTTTGCGATTGTTCTTCGCTTTGTGTGGGGGTGAGTGACAGCACAGGGCCGTGCCAAGCTGCATTTGTCGATGAAGTCAAAGCGAAAGAGATGGAGGCGATCATACACACCGGAGCAGGACAACGACGTGACGAAAGGGCTGACGACGGGGACAGCAGGGACAAGAACGCCATTGGCCCAGATGAGGTGGGTGCTTGGAAGGCGATCAGAAGTCGATGCTGCTAGTTCAACGCCGCGACTGTTGTTAAGGCTACAGCCCCAAGAGTCGTCAAGGATGGGGTAGCCCTGAACCAGGACGAGCCCGATCAGGCTGCTGTTGGCGGGGACAGAGGTGGTGGGGGGCATGGGGGTGGTAGTTGTGGTGTTTGCAGACGGGGCAATGGTTGTGGTCGCCGCCAGTGTTGTGGTGATTGTGGGCATTGTGGTTGTAGTCGTGGTTGTAGTCGTGGTTGTAGTTGTCGTCGTCGTTGTAGTTGTTGTCGTCGTCGTGGTTGTTGTAGTCGTTGTGGTTGTCGTTGTGGTTGTGGTGGTGGTGGTGGTGGTGGTGGTGGGACGAGAACAGATGGGACAGGCACGCGTAAAGCGACAGTCTAACTGATGACCAACCACGGGGAGCGTGACAGCGGTACACGTCTCCACTTGAATGTTGTCCTGTTGAATGGCAACACCAAAAATGTCGGTTGTGCACACGTCATTGGCGAAGAAACGAAAGCCGTAAAGATCCGTGTTTGTGACACCACGACTGGCGCGCATGTACGCCTCATTGATGCCGAGTCCATCAAAGCCTTCAGCGTCAATCTCTTCACAAACATCAACCTCAACCAGTTGACACCAAGCATTACCTGTGCAAATGGACCAAACAAAAAGGACCGCCACGCACCAGGTCAGGCAAAGAGGTAAATGACAACCGAGTGGGCCAGCAGCGCAAGAACGCCGACACGCAGCGGCAGACGGGAACGCAAGGACGTGAACAAGATCGGAACGCACTGTTGTAAGCACAGCCTTCGTCGGGCGCAAAGGTGCAAAAGTAAATTTCATTGGCCGCCAAATCTACAATGATGATGGGCGGGTGGCAGGAGCGACGGAAGTGAGTCTCGATTTGTGTCGCGGGTTGGGGGGCCGCGGCAAAAAGAGCCGAGGCTTGGGTGACGGAACAAACACACCATCTTCACAAGTGACAAGCACCGTAAGGCAGAGCAAATTTAGCAACCAAACCAGCGAGGCTGAAGCATAGCGCCGGCGCGGGTATCCGCGGCCTCCATTGCCGCGACTCGCTACACCCGGCCGCCACATGGCGCGCACGGGGGGCGGAGAAAAGAAGAAGGCGGGGAAGAAAAAGACCAAGAAATCGATGGAAGAGAGGCAGGAGAACACGAGGGTACAGCGCCGGGCCAGAGGCAAGAGGCAACAATAAGGGCAGCCCCCGTTCAGGGCAGCGCGCAAACGCCTACGCGCGGCAACACGACGGCGACGGCGGCGACGACGGGACGGCGACGTCGTTCAAGTCGTTGCCTCCCGACGCAGAGACAAGGCACCAAAGGGGGTCGTCCGGTAGAGAACAGTGGGAACCGGGAAGAAAAGTGCAGAGATGTTGAGAAGTAGCTGATACCAAAGCGAGGATTTTCTACTACGTTTACAATCTTATGCAGAGACATGAAGTTGTAGGGTTTAAAATTTAGAGAATAGGTACTCAGCTGTGACTCGGACAGAGAGACGAACAAACATTGTGTGCTCCAGTTGGACACGCTCTCTCGAAAGCTCTCTCGAAAGCTCTCTCTCTCTAAAGCTCTCTCTCTTTTGGAAGCTCTCTCTCTAAACTAAAGCTCTCTCTCACGCTAAAGCTCTCTCCTAGCTCTCTCTCTCTCTAGCTCTTGCTCTAGCTCTCTCTCTCTCTAGCTCTCGCTCAAGCTCTCTCTCTCTCTCGAAAGCTCTCTCTCTAAAGCTCTCTCTCTCTCGAAAGCTCTCTCTCTCTCGAAAGCTCTCTCTCTAGCTCTCTCTGTCTCTAGCTCTCGCTCTAGCTCTCTCTCTCTCAAAGCTCTCTCTCTCTCTCAAGCTCTCTCTGTCTAAATATCTCTCTCTCTAAATCTCGCTGCATCAATAAAAAATGAATTGCAGGCACAGAGATCAGGCAAGCAGGTCGGGGTTTAGACGTGGTGGGAGCAACTCAACAGGCGCTCGAATGAGCTTCAAACGACAATGCCTAACAGGAACAGCGAGTGGGCATTGAGTTTGTTTTTCCACGTGATGTCTGCATCGGCCATATGAGTAAGCATGGCGTACCTTTGAGGAAGCAGACGACGGCCTTTTGGGCGTGCAAACGGTTTTCGGCCTGCTGGTAAATAACGCTCTGTGGGCCATCAATGACCTGTTCCGTGACTTCAATGCCACGATATGCTAAGGAAAAAAAAGAAAAAAAAAAAAGCATAAATGAATCGAGGCGCCCGTGCGTGAGCAGCGCTCAACTCAAAACAGCAAGGCCAGAATAAAAGGGTCGTGCAATCTCTCGCTCCACCTCCGTTTGCGCCCCTCTCTGTTCGGAACATCAATGGAACAAACCGGGCATGTCATGCATAAAGATGGCAGTGGGTTTGGCGTGGGCCATGACGTCCTGCGTGACTTGGTAACCGTCAAACTCTTTGAGGCGGCGGGCCTTGTCGGCTTCTTGGCCCATGGAGACAAAGGTGTCGGTGTAAACCACGTCGACATCGCGCACGGCTTCTGCGACATCCTCCGTCTCTGTGATGGAGCCGCCACTGATCTGGGCCAGCGCCTCGGCTTCTGCACGCACGGCCGGGTCCATGGCGTGAGCTGCGGGGGCGGCCACGCGAAAGTGCATGCCGAGGTAGCCAGCCGCCAAGGCCAGGGAGTGGGTGACGTTGTTGTTGCCATCACCCACAAAAGCCAGCGCCAGGCTGTTGTCAAGACGGCCGTAGTGCTCGTAAATGGTGAGGACGTCGGCCATGGCCTGGCACGGGTGCTCGCGATCGCACAGCGCATTAATGACGGGGACGTGCGAGTGATCGGCCAGCTCGCGGACCGTGTCGTGCTTAAAAACACGGGCAATAATTACATCCACCATCCGGGACAGTACGTTGGAAACGTCCTTGATGGGTTCGCGCGTACCCAGACCAATGTTCTCCGGGCCCAGGTACATGGCATGGCCACCCAGCTGAGTCATGCCGGTTTCAAACGACGTGTGTGTGCGCAGGGATGGCTTTTCAAAAATCATGGCCATCGTATTACCCGGCAACAACTTGAGCTGCTGGCGCTTGGGCATCTGTTTCAATCGCGCTGCCGACGCGATCACCGACCGCAGCTCCACCGCGTTGAGGTCTGTGATGCGCAAAAAGTGGCGCAAAGGTGGTGACATGATGAACCGTTCCGGCGATGCAACAGCGTGCAGGCACGGAGAACGTCGTTGCAATGCCTCGTGTTCCTCGGTCTCAGATACCCAGTGAACGGGCTGCGCTCTACATGCACCCAAAGTCAGCGGCACGGACGCGGGCACGACGTCAGCACGTGAATCAACTCGGCTCGCCACTTACACACACACACACACACACAAACACATTAAGCAAGCAACTGGACACGAAGAAGCCAACATGTCCCTGTGACTCTTGACATTGTATACGATCCATCTGATCAGACAGGGGCAGCCCACTGGCCACCGGGGGAGCGGGCGGGGAGCAGCGCGGCTCCGGGGACTGGCTGCCGTTTCCGTTCCCATGTGCCCACTGACCCAAGTTGCTGACAATTGGAGTTTGAGGCGAGAAAATGCGGCAAACCTTCGACTTGTTGCAGATGTTAAAGCATACCCTGATTTACTTTATGAAGTTTTCAACAGCGTTTTGCTTATTTGGGTCTGGAAAGGCGTTTATGCTCCTAAATCCAGACTTTTCGTCGTTTTGTTGAGAACAGTAATGTAAGTTGATGCACATGTCCGCGTCGCTTTTAACCAAAATGCCGAGTCTGGTTCGTGCATCCAATATCACACTTTCTGAAGAATGTATAATGTTCACAACGTTATTTGATAAAAGTTATTTTACGGTTTTCGTAGTCTTGCGCCTCACACAATGTGAGGGTACAATAACCCTCAACGCAACAACACGACACGGCACGACGGGCTCGACGGGTGGACCAGTGGGTACGATTTGGGCAGCAGCCAGGTGGCCTTATTGGGCTAACTCGGCGCTTTAAGCAGAGGTTCCACCTGCCAAGATGCCTCGTCCCGATACATCGACAGCAGCGCACACGGCAGAACACCTGACAAACTGTACCCTGGTCATCCCAATGGAATGGGGAAGAGTGACCCGGCGGCGTCGTTTCCTTGTTGCCTACAATGAACATGATGATGTCGACTGCTTGTCGACCTGCCAACTTGAATCGGCCCATGCCTCTTTCAGATACTACAAAAGACGCAAGGGTAGACTCCAATGGCATCCACCCCTTTTGACTGTTGCTGGTTGTCTGTGTCTGCTGTCGGACTGGTAGAGATCAATCAACCCAAACCATGTCATTGACCAGACGAGCAACGTCACTTGTGGAGCAGCCAGCCAGCTCAGCGTCTGTTGACGTTCTGCAAGCAAAGTGTTTGCGCTACCTATGCTCGAGAACCTGGCTGCTTGCTGCTGGTTGCTCTCAAGCTCAACACACAAGCATACAAGCAAAAAACACTCTTCCATCATAAGGTTGGCTCTATGGAAGCACATACAAGCACTTGGTGCTTTCATGGAAGCACATACACATACAAGCACTTGGTGCTTTTATGGAAGCACATACAAGCACTTGGTGCCTTTGTGGAAGCACATACAAGCTCACACCACTGGCATGGCATCATTTTTCAATCTCGGGCTCTGGTTGTCTTCAAACGACTCCCTTGCGCCCAGTGATCCGTGTCTTCCCCATCCACCCTACGGCTCGCCCTTTCCCGCCTTCTGCTCGACTTGCTCTACCGACCTCAACTACACCACAACGACTTTCCTCTTCGCTTCTGGTCCTCCAAACCGGATTTCTTCCTTCACCTCCTCCCCCGCGACCGTGATCATGAGCTTTTGGTCTGCTTTGAACAAGTAAGTCAAGTTGATGCTAACCCCTGCCATTGCCCTTCAAGTCATCTCATGCGCGTACCCGACTGGCTGCAATGGATGTGATAGACTTGAAACGTCTGACCTGCCTCCGCCACCGGATGAAACTACTGAAGCTGCGGAAACAGATGAAGGATGGGATGCTGTCACAATTGTCAGCGCAGGTACGTCGGGTTCCCTGAAAGAGCCTTGATTATCGTCATCTTGCCACACCTCACTCAATTTGTGCACGTAGTGTCGGGCGAAGAACCAACACTCGAGGTCTCGGCTGTTTCCAAGATCAAGGAGAAGGCTCAAGCCCGCTCGACCAACGAAGAAGAGCGTCGTCCACCGGGCGAGCATCCTCCTCCAACAGTGCCTCCTGTTCCCCGTGCTGTCTCTCGTGCAGCCTCGAAGGTGGAAGAGACCGTCAAGACTGCGCGTCAAGTGGACGCCAGTGAGCTGGCGCGCGAGGCTCAAAAGCGGATCGAGCTTCTTGAGGCTAATCTTGTTGAGTACAACCTGGTGGGCTCGGACGCCAACACTGGAGTAATCTTCCTCGCTCCAACGAGCTCTGGCAAGACGACCACGCTGCTCTGGCTTGAAGGCCATCCGATTGAAGAGCGTGCTGTTCCCGGCAAAGAACACTTGCGCCATCTTAACGTGGCCTGCAGCGCCCCCGACGAAGTGCAGGGGCTAGTGGGGGACGGTATATCGGCCAGGACCATCACGCCGCGCTATCTCGCGAGGGATCGCATCGTGTACGTTGACCCTGCTGGGTTCAACGACACCCGCTCGGTCATCCTCGCCATGATCAACAGCATGGGTTTGCGCCACCTCCTGGACAAGATGCCCCGCAAGCGAATCGTCCTGCTCGTCAACTTCCGGGGTCTCTCCCGCCTTGATGCCGTCTCTAGCATGCTGCAGAGCTTGCAACGGCTTTGCCCCGACTTTGAGGCTCTGGCTCCGGGAATCCTCTTTCTGTACTCCCGCCTGGACGGGAATACGAGCAAAGAGGTCATCGTCGAGCTTCTCAACGGCTACAAGGCGCGCCAGGGCATTCGCGAAGTACCCTACTACACCAAGACGCTGGACCTGATGATCCACCAACTCGAGCGCCACGAGGACACTGTCCTCCTCTACCCACACCTTGATGCCCCCGATGGCGTGCGCAATATCATTGCTCGTGGCATTCGCGATTGCTTGCCGTTTCATCATATGGGGTCACCCCTTGAGGATGGCGAGATTGCCATGATACAGCAGGCCATTGGCAAGGAACTGGGTAGCTTGCATACCTACCTCAGCAGTGAACAGCCCAGCGTTTATCGCCAGGGCATCAAACACCTGACCACGATTCGCACGCTTGCTCAGCTCATTAATGACGAGGCCATCTCTGAGATGTATCACCAAGCTCTCGATCTCCTGGGCAAGGTCATTCAAACGCATGCTGTGAGCTTTGCGCGCGCTCTGAAATCTGGGCAATTTGAGGTAGCCGCCCGTCACGACAAGACCCTTCAAGCTCTGGAAGGCTACAACCAAGAGTTGCAACAGACCACTGCCATCTCTCGAAACCTTTGGTCGCGTGTGCAGCAAGCCTGCGACCTTGTCGACAGTGCGCAAGCCTTTGAATCTCTCGCCGATTTGCAGCGAGCGCTTCGAGCGGCGGCTGCAGCGGTGGGCATGCGCTTGGCCAAGGACGTATCAGACGCTAACGAGCAAGAGGCGTTTGCCGAGTGCGCGCTGCCGGCCGTGGCCACGCTGTGTCAGTTTGACCAACACCTTGCTTCTTCCTGCTCGGGACGCTTGCTATGGAATCCAATTGCCGAATCGCTGCTGAACGAGGCAGTGCAAGCTTCAGCGGCCATCACCGCCGTGGTCCAGGCCCTGAACAGCGCTATCACCGTCCCTTCTTCGCGCAATGATCTCTCTGTTGACATGTGGCAGGCGCTGCGCTCTGCTCTGGGCCTGCACCAGCGCGCACAAGCGTACAGCGGATATGTGCTTTTGGACCAGCTGCGCACTTGCTATGATCAGGACAAGACCTTGCTTCTCGAAGCTGCCAGCCAGCTCTGTGCAACCATCACAACCATCCACAAGCTGATGGCCGAGTATCACGCAGAAGACCTTATGCTGGAGCGCTTGGCTAGTCTCATGGCCTTGCTTCGGCACGTGGAAACGGTAGCCGGGCCCGAGTGCGTGGCCCCTGGCTCGCGCCATGCCGACATGCAAAGTGCTTTTGCTCGCGTTGTCCGCGATCGCTTGAAGAAACCCATCGCCCACGCCGTCACCGACGAGCAGCCAGCGCTTGCCGCATCTGCCCTCGGGCAGCTACTTGCCCTCCTCGAACCCTTTGGAGCAGACGAGGTGGTGCAAGATACTCAACGCGATGCCCTCCTACTCCTCAATCGCCTGGCCAACCAGCAGCGCCACTGCCAAGAGACCCTGCGCACGATACTCGCCCACGAGGGCTCTGCACGGGATTTTGAGGCCTTAGTCAAGGCGATAAAAGCGCTCACCGCGTGCCAAGTTCTTGACAAGATTATCGAGGATGCCCGCTGGTTGCCTGCAGATGCCGGCTCACCAGACGCCCAAGCGCAAGATCAAGGGCAAGAACAGGGTGCTTTGTCAGCCAAAGTGACTTGGCAAACCAGCGCCCCGCTTATTAAGCGCACTATCCAAGAGCTGCACGACTTTCTTGGCTCCTTGTGCAAGGACCTTGCATCCGCGCTCAACACGCGAGCCACTCCCGGAGATCGCGTTTTGACAAGCCTGCAAGCCTTCCACCTCGTTCAGAGCCTGCTCGACGATGAGATTGTGCAAACCCTGGTGGCGCAAGTCGCTGCTACCATCACGCAAGCCTGCGACCATCTTGCTTGTTCCAGCGTTGAGAGCATGAGTGGTCACACCCGGGATGGCCACTTGAAGTGGTTAACGCAGACGGCCGAGTTTGTCGGTGATCTCGACGCTACCTATCCGCTCTTGCGCAGCCCAGAATGGGCTTCGGTTCAGGCTAGCCTCAAAGATCAAAATGAGCGCATGCTCGCCGACACCAAGGCTTGGGGGGACCAACTGGTTGCTACAGTGCGTGACACAGTTTCCGAGGATCGCCTGGGCGAAACAGCATCTGAGCTCGATGCGCTGCACGAGTTGGGCCATGCGCAGGATCTGCAGGTCCAAGGCATTGCAGCCCCCTTGTATGAACAAGCATTGGAGGTTGTGCGTCGTCGTTTGAAAGAGCTTTACGAGGAGTTTAATCTCTCTATCAGCGCGACAGATCTGGGCGTCTCAGTGAAAGCCAAAAAAGTTCTCATTGATGCCATAGTGTTGCATCCCCATCTCCCCGAGGCCAATCTTATTACCAAGTCCATTGAAGAAAAAGACCAAGCCATGATGAATGCCCTCCGGGAGCAATTTGACACCGACCTTCTTGCCAACAACTTCCACGCAATCCATGATGTTCTTACGGGTCTGTTACAGACTCAAGACGCCCCAGAATGGCGCGCCGCCTACCGAGGGCTCAAGCGCACTGCTATTCTCAAGATGCAGCCAGAGTTGAATCAGCGTGTGGAGGAAATGCAACGCGCGGCGCGTGGCATTCGTGCCACCCATGCCAGTACTCAGATTGGCGATTTGCTACAAAGGCTCGATCAGCAGGACGCCTGGTTTGTCAAGGCGCGTGTCCTGGATGCTGCCCTTCCTGAGCTGCGTCTAGCCGAGGCAGAAAAGCAGTTTTCAATCATTGTCAAGAACATCTACCACCGCTTGTGCAGCCGACTCTGGGCAGCTATGAAAAAGTACCATTTCAATACAGCTGAGACTCTCTACGGTCACCTCCAAGCGTGGCAATGCGTACACCGCGCTGACCTGGACTCTTCCGATTTCCTTAACGATACATCCATGGCTGACACTTCCGTTGCCGGTGAGGCGCCGATGAGCGATAGTGCCAGCGAGGCCCCCAGCGATGTTTTCGGCGCCCCTAGCAAGTTGACGGCCATTGAACGCTACGCCGCCGAACTAGATACACAGGTGACCAATCATGTCACGTCTCTTTTGAAGGAGCGGCGTGGTGTGGAACTCGCTCGTGTGCTACGCAGCCTGAAGTCAGTGTACGATGGGGTGTCAGAGCAGGGTCTGTTCACAACGGATCTGGTTGGGCTGGTGGATCAAGTCTTCCACCAGGTGCATCGCGAGGCACAAGCCGAGCTTTCGGGCATGCAGCGCACCCTGTACCGACAAGGAGGTCCTGCGGCAGCCCGCGAGCAGCTGGCCGCGTTCGACGAGTTATTTCGACCGCTGGAAACGCAACGTCTGCCGCCCTTTGAGAATGACGAGTCGCAGATTTGTCAGCTGCACAGAGCAGTACTGACAGAAGTCCGCGATACCGAGGAATATTTCACCTTGCCCGCGCTTTCACCTGAGGTAGCAGATGAAATTCTTGCCATGCTGGCTCAGGGTCGAGCGGGGAACATGGGCAGAGTACTTGATTCGGTCAAGGCCCTCTGTAAGAGGGCGGTGGCTGATTTGCAGGGAAATTGCTACGCCAATGAATTGGGCCTTGGTCTGACTGACATTGTCGTGGACCGCTTCTTGGGGCTTGCCAAGCTTGGGACCGAACTCAAGCGTCCCGACATTGCTTTGGCATCACAACACGTCAATGCCATGCTGGGCAGCAGCGTCACCGAAGGCTTTCGAGCCGTCAACAAATGGCTGCGCTCAGATCTTCAAACAGTCCATAATATGTTGAAGGCTTTTAATGTGGACCAAGCGCGAGAGGCCCTCTCGGGCCTGACGCAAAGCGTCAATCGCCTCTCTGCTACAGGCCTTCCAGCCGAGTCGCTGGATTTCCTCAAGATGCTTCAGGACACTCTCGAGTCGTTTACGGTCAATGTCAAGTATGGCACCGATCCGGTGGATCGACTCGACTTGGCTGGCTTCATTGCCGATAGCTTTTCAGCCGAGACCTTGGCGGCTCGCATCGACCAATTGGCCATGGTCACCTCGGCACAGCACTCGAGCAAGAGCGCACCCGTGTTTGGCAGCCAGGACGTCTTCAATCCCGGACAAGCCCTGAATAAAGTCCTTGTGCATTGGCAGGGTCTACTGCGGCAGGCTACCACAGTTGTAGAGGAGTGCATTGCTGGCTGTCAGGATGTTAGCATCCTTGCGGCACACTACGCGGCCGTGGCCAAGCTGGCACAACGACAGCCTGCCGAGCTGAACGACGACGTAGCCAAGACACTGCACCACTTGAATGACCGCCTCGCGGCCTTTGCGCGTTCGGCCGGGGCTCGCGTTCAAGCCCGGGTCGAGGGAAAGCACTGGCACGAGCTAAACGAGAACCTTTCGTTCACTTATCAGGTCGAACGTGCCCTCGCCACTTTGGCACAGGCCCAGCTCCCCGCGCTGACCACACCCCTTGCAGATTCGCAGGAGCAAGCACTCCTTTCGCGGGTCCAAGCCGAGGACTATGTGGGCAACGACACACTCGACGAACTCGCACGCTGTTTGGGGCGCCTTCAAGAGCTGTCCTCCAACTGTCTCGCAGAACGAGTCAAGACTGAGGTCAAATCGCGCATCAAGGCTCGACTAGACGGTCTGAAGGGCCAGGGGAGCACTGTCGACTTGGACCTGGCCGACTGCTTGTCCGACGTTGGCGAGTATGGCGAGGAGGTCAAGCAATCTTACAACCAGTTTGCGGAGGCATTGGTTCGCCAGCGAAAGGCAGCAACCAAGACCATGACGATTGACAAGGCCTTGGCCGATATGCAAGCGGGGCCTCACGCCATCTCTGCCGCACATGCCGATCGCCTGCGAGCTGCCTATGACAGCTACCGTCGTGAGTTTGAAACACACATTGCAAAATCAACTTCGGCCATTCCGGCCCTCGTGGATGCCGTTCGTCAAAAGTGCGACAAAGTGGCCCACCGACCCAACGCCCTGTTGACGGAGTTGCCGGTCATCCTCGCTGTGCTCGCAGCGATTTGGTCCCTGGGCAGCCGCAAAGCCATGGCTAAAGCCTCGCAAGCGGATCGCGGGATTTACAAGGAACTGCACACGATTCAGGTGTTGGCACTCTTTGAGCTGCTGGGCTTGTGCGACGCCAAGGTTGGCTTGCGGCGCGTGGCCTCTTGGGTCAAGTCCTTTGTCCCCTTTGGTGCCCACGACAAGCTCAGTGGAGCCTTCGTGCAGATACAAACAGGCGGGGGCAAGAGCATTTTACTCGGGTTTGCCAGCACGCTCTACGCCCTTCTGGGGTTTGAAGTGTCCTGCGCCTGCTTTAGCAACATTCTCAGCTCGCGCGACTACAACGACTTTAAAGACTTTTTTGATGTGGTTCAAGTGGCAGGACTTGTCAAGTATGGCCCCTTGAGCGAGTTGGCCCGAGCCGAACTGAACGTCAACGGAGATATCCGCCAGGCCCTGCAGACGCTCGTGATCGACGGCCGCCTTTCGGATCCAACGGTGCGGCCGGGTGCCCTGCCCAAAGTCCTGCTGGTCGACGAGGTCGACACGTTGCTGTCAAATGTTTTCCTGACCGAGCCATATACTCCCGGCACGCTGGTGCACGATGACAGCTTTTTGGAGCTCCTGCGCGCCGTGTGGCAGGACCAGTCGCTCACCTTGGCGCAGATCCAGGCGCTGCCCAGCGCGCAAAAACTGCTGCAAACCTATGCTCACACCGAGAAGTTGGTGCTCGCTGCACTGGAGAACGTCGCGTTGGCCCGAGCAGCATTTGAGCGTCGCGAGCACCCATATGAAGTGCAGGAAGGCCTCATCGCGTATAAGCGTGAGGGCCTGGACGAGCCCAGCTCTGATATTTCCTACGGCTACGAGACGCAGTTTGCCTACTTGGCCGAAGAAGCGCGCGGCGCAGTGATGCCTGAGGTGTGCAGGCAGCACGTGGGGCTTTTCTGCTCGGGCGGCCGCTTCAGCTTTGTCAAGTTGATTCAGAAATTTGACCTCATTAGCGGCGTCACCGGGACCATACCCGACGACCTGGCGCTCCTGCGCACCAAGTTTGGGGTTGGGCGGTGTTCGTACATGCCAAGCATGTATGGCAAGATCAACTTTCAGCGCGACCCAGTGCAGCTGACCAGCAACAAAGCGCAGCAGCACCAGGCGATTGCAGGAGAGACCTTTGAGCGGGCCCAAGGGCGGGCAGTTATTGTCTTCTTTCAGACCACGGCCGATCTCGAGGCCTTTCGAGCTTCGCCCGAGTTTACTGCCAAGCTTGGAGGACGGCCCATAAACATCATCACCGTGGGGTCGCCCGACATTCCTCATCGCATCAAGCAAGCCACGCGAAAGGACATGGTGACGCTGGCCACGGCACCCTTTGGTCGAGGCTCTGATTTCACCGTTCTGAATCGCGACATTGAAAAGAACGGGGGCATTCACGTGATTCAGGCCTTTCTCTCTGTCGAGGTGACTGAGCAAATCCAGATTGAGGGCCGGACCGCTCGCGAGAGCAATAGCGGCAGTTACCGCCTCGTGCTCTGCCTGGAAGACGTGCAAGCGCTGCTGGGCGAGCACTTCCCGTCGGACATTCATGAGGGTGCCTTTGCCGAACTGCCCCCGACGCTGGATGCAGCCCGGCGCACCTTGCATGCGGAGATGCTTGCGCAGTCTTTTGAGGCACTGGCGGCGTGTGAGGCAGCGCACGACACGTCCCTCAAGCTGGTTCGAGAGCTCTTCAGCGGCAAAAAGGGCGACCCCCAGAACGCGCTGCGCTACGTGCATGAATATTCGGCCCAGGCAGAGTATGCCGAGGCCGTGGATGTTGTTGTGGTGGTGGATATTTCGGGTAGCATGGGGCCCCATGTCCCGCAGGCCCAGGCATTCGTGCGCACCATTGCTCAGGAAGGGTTTCACTTGGACCAGGCTTCGAGTCGGAATCGCCTGGGCATCTTGACGTTTGATGTGCAGGCTCAAGCCATGGGTGGAGAGGACTTTTTGTCCGACGACTGGACCACAGTGCAGCAGCGCGCCGCGGCCATTGCCACCAAAGGCTACCAAACCTTTTATCTGCCGCCTCTGAAATTGTTGGAGGAGAAGCTGTGCCAGGCCAAGGCCGCTGATCCAACTCGCTACGCTTCGACTCGCCGCATTGTACTCTTCCAAACGGACGGCGCCAACATGGACACGGAAAAGTCAAGCGCCATTCGCGCAACCGCAGAGCGGATCGTTGACGAGCTGGACACGACGCTCATGGCCGTCTTGACGGGGCCAGACGTGCCCCCAGATAGCGTGGCCTACTTTGTGGGCCGGGCGGGTCAGTTTAAGACCATGGACCGCAGCGACTCGGACTTTTTGGCTCAGCTCATCATCACGGTGGACACTTACGACGCACTGGTGCAACGCGCCAGCAACATTGCCAACTGCGCCACCTCAATGTAGGGAAGCAGCCGATGATTTCCTGTAGCATGTCGAAATGGGGAGGATTTGATCTGTTTCTTCTTGCGTGTGCGTGTGTGTGTGTGTCAGGCTCCAGCACGCGTGGAAGCACGGATTTGACGCTAACACTGTGTGTGTGTGTGTGTGTGTGTGTCGGCCACTGATGGCGAGGGAGAGGCGGGAAGCTCTCCTTTGCCGTCAAGGTCTTTCACGAAAAATTCAAACAGTTTACATCCAGATGTTCTCCTAAGCACGTTGAACGCACCACCATTCCGCAACAAAATCAGAATCACATGTACATGCTATGGCTTGCTGGAAGGAGCGCTTGACGGCAACCCTTCATCGGGCCAATGCAGAGATGCTTCGCCATCGCTTTGGGCAGATCCTTGAACTCATCACCGACGTCTAGCCACTTTGCTTCACTGCATCGTGCGCTCCCTATTACAGTAGTGTTCTTTGAGTCGTTCGTTCAGGTTTTTCTTTTTCCCTAAGAAGTCACTCTTTGGTCTTTTGACTCTCTTTTTCGTTTTCTGTTTCAGTCGCGAGACGCTTTGACACTTGTGGTGGTGGTGGTGGTGGTGTACAGGCTTTGACCTTCAACCTCCAGGCGTGGAAGAGTGCACACTGACTATTGCCAGCTAATGAAGAGCACCCCTCGAATCAAGCGTCAGTACTGTGTGTATCTACCACTATAAAACAACAAGCGAAAAAAAAAGCACAAAAACAGCGAAAAATTCTGAAAAAGAGAGAGAGAGAGAGAGCAGAGAGACAGAGACAGAGAGACAGAGAGACAGAGAGACAGAGAGACAGAGAGACAGAGAGAGACAGAAAGACAGAGAGAGGACACAAGACAGAGACAGGGACAGCGAGAGGATACAAGACAGAGACAGGGAGACACACAGAGAGGACAGAGACAGAGAGAGACAGAGAGACTGAGAGACTGTAAAGCCCAAGAGAAAGACTGATTTCTGGTGCACTTTGGAGACCAAACTGAGAGAGGACCTCGTTTGCATGTGACGACGACTCCGGCCGGTTCTGATGATGCAGGGCGCCTGTCATTGACGTTGCGCGATACGCTGATGTGTGCAAGCAAAGCGCAAAGCACCCCCACACGCCCCACCACCAAGGAAAAAAAAAGGAAAGACAAACAATCAAGACCGAGGGGCATCGCTTGATCACTGCCCGCCGGACCAGCCAGAGCGACCTCAAACTGCCATTCCATTTGGCACCACCATACCAGCGCAGCCCAATAGGACCTTGGACGCGACTGCCGTTTGAATCGCCCTCGTATCACATTATTGCAGCCCATCAGTGAAATTGCAGTATATTCTGCATAGGCCGAAATTTGGCCTAGAGTTTGAGAGAGATTTTGAGAGAGAGATTGAGAGAGAGAGAGATTTTGAGAGAGAGAGAGAGAGAGATTTTGAGAGAGAGAGAGAGATTTTGAGAGAGAGAGAGAGAGAGAGAGATTTTGAGAGAGAGAGAGAGAGAGAGAGAGAGATTTTGAGAGAGAGAGAGATTTAGAGAGAGAGAGAGAGATTTAGAGGAGAGAGAGAGAGAGAGAGAGAGAGAGGAAAATACAAAGAAAGGCACATGCCTGGACATGAGCAAAGGACGAAGCGGACGCACGCGCAAGTGGTGGGGGTATGGGTTTGGGTGGGTTCAGTGATATCGACGTCATGAAGCCGCGACACGATTTTGTAGAAACGTGTTGAGAGAAGGTTATGAGTGCGGTGTGCGAGGGGCGGGCGAACCCTTTGTTGTTTTGTTGGATGTGCTGGTGGTGGATATACTGTTGGAAGCTCGCAAAAGTTGATCGCATGGAGAGAATCGTGCAACAAGTGGAACAAGACGGCCACGAGCATCGCAAACGCGGCGACGATGCTGTTGCCACCCCCGTGGAGCGCGCAAAGTTCAACCGAGCACATCAACTACAGCTCGAACCATCGTCGCCCTTTGGTCGCCGCCCAACCGCCACGCGTGTACTCTCCATTACGTGTGTGTGTGCGTGTGTCAAAAATTGGATAAGCAAAAAAAATTGAGAGATTGAGAGAGAGAGAGAGACAGGAGAGAGCGAAGAGGGATTGAGAGAGAGAGATTGATTTAGAGAGATTTAGAGAGAGGGAGGGACGAGGCAACCAGAGATAGAGAGAGATCAAGGGATAGATCAAGAGATCAAGTGAGAGAGAAACCTGCAACATGACCAAACCCCACCACCCACAAAAGGACCCACATTCACACCCCTAACTCCATACCACCTGTACCCACCCATACCCAATACCCCATACAGGGACACATTTCGTGTGTGTGTTGCCTTTACAACAAGCAAACACACACACACACACACACACACACACACACACACACACACACACACACACACACACACACACACACACACACACAGGGCATGGCACGGGTACGAGTGTGCTCTCGCTTCTCGCCCCCCACTGCCGCCCGCCCTCCCCCGCCCGCCCCTGCCCGCCCACACCCACAGACACAGACACAGACACATGTAGATGGCATTTCCCGCGGAAGTTTGATCGTAGCGACGAAAGTGCAAGGCACGGTTTCGGTGCTGTTCAATACAGTCCGACACGGGCCCGGTACTAGTACAACTGCGGCTACGGCTACGGCTACGGCTACGGCTGTAGCTCGGATTGATCTGAAGCAAAGAGGCAGACGGCGCAAAGATCGCCATGGAGTCGGAATACACGAAGAATCTGGCAGCGCTGGATCTGGAGGCGCAGGCCGAGGCCAACATGTCGGATGAGTCCCGTACCCTTCTGGAACGCATTCGCACTGGCATCATCGGCGATTATACCAGCATTGAAGGTCAGCCCCGCGCTCTCATCGGACCAATGGCCACCATCACATCGGCTGCCGTGACCCACAACACTGCCACACGGGCTAAACAGACACTCCCCCCTTCCCCGCCGCGCCCCACTCGCTGTCCTCTGGCAAACAACAACCCTGCTCCTTGCGATTTTGTGACTTTGTCCACCGGCTGACCACCTTGTGATGGCCTTGTGATGGCCTTGAGAGCAGTCTGGTCTCGGCTCCACCAAACCTCACACTTGGCATCCATCCACCTCTTTTGGCTTGCAAGTCATCCGCGCAGCCACACACACACACACACACACACACACACACACACACACACTCTCTCTCTCTCACACACACACACACACACACACACACACACACACACTCTCCACCGCCGCCCTTGTTTACTTTGTGCATGCATTCCTGATCCCATTATTCCGGATGCCCTAGCACATGATCTCTCTCCACCCAAACCCTCTTCTGCCCCCTCACACCGCCTCTCTCTCCTCCATCTCCTCCATCTCCTCCCACTGTTCTTTCTTTCCTCGCCCCTTCCATTTCACTCCCCCTTCTGCCCAATTAATCATGGTCAAACTCTTCCTCTCGCCCCTCTCAACCGCCACTGTCTCCATCATTTCGCTCGGGTTTAGGTCCGTTTGGCCCAAAGCCCATGATCTATGCCGACTTTACCGCTTCCGGCCGTAGCCTGCGCTTTGTCGAGGACTACCTGCACGACAAGGTCATGCCACTCTATGCCAATACCCATACCGAAGCAAGCGTCACCGGTCGGGTGACCACCGAGGCTCGAGAGGAAGCCCGTCGACTCGTGGTGGAGGCCTGTGGGGGCAACACCAACGAACACGCCGCCATCTTCACGGGTTCAGGCTCCACCGCCGCCATCTACAAATTCATGGGCCTCATGAACCTCATGCCGCGGGCTCGTGCCTCGAGCAGCCGCGCCGTGCAAGTGGAAAAGGATGGTCGGCGTGGTGTGAGCATCAAAGCCAACGCCCGCGAACCCGGCCCACCCCGCCGCCAACGACCCGTCATCTTCATCTCCGAGTACGAACACCACTCCAACGACCTTCCTTGGCGTGAAGCCCCCGTCGACTTGGTCCGCATCATCAGCGGCTCCGATGGTGCCCTCGACCTGCAAGACCTTGAGGAACAGGTCAAAAAGTACCGCCGCCGCCCTCTCTTAATCGGCTCCTTCAGTGCAGCTTCCAACGTCACCGGAATCATCACCCCCGTCCGGGAAGCCGCCAAAATCATGCACAAATACGGGGGCCTCGCCTGCTTTGATTACGCAGCCTCGGCCCCCTACGTCCCCATCAACATGGGCTCCCGCGAAAACGGCGACGACGACTACCTCGACGCCATCTACATCAGCCCACACAAGTTTGTCGGTGGCCCTGGCTCGCCGGGCGTCCTCATTCTTCGTCGCAGCATCTGCACCAATCTGGTTCCCGTCATGCCAGGTGGTGGCACTGTCCTCCTTGTGGAAAAGGATCTGCATGTGGTACGGTCACGCCCCTTTTCGCGCCTACTTGTCAGCCGTAAACCCTGCCCCATGTACAAGACCTCATGTCCCACAATCTTCCGTGGCCTGCTTGTAGTATACCCAAGAGGTGGAACACCGCGAGGAGGGTGGCACTCCCGACATTATGGGCTCAATCCGATGCGGCCTCATCTTTTCCATCAAGCAGCGCCTCGGTCCGGATTTTATCGTCGCCCGCGAACGCGAGCTCATTCGTCGCGCCAACGCGGTAAAACAAATCTGCGCCTCTGAGGATGTCCAGATTGTTTTGAGCGCCCTCGCGCATCCATCTCACTCACAAACGTTGGGCTTTTTCTGGTGTTCGACTCTAGATTTGGGAGCCCATCGCCCACCAAATGGTTTTGTTGGGTCCAGACACCGAGGAGAAGCTTACGGTGTCCTCCTTCCTTCTTCGATGTGCCGGCAAAATGCTGCACTACAATTTTGTCGTTTCCCTTCTCAACGATATCTTTGGCATCCAAACCCGCGGTGGCTGCTCTTGTGCGGGTCCCTACGTCACCAAACTGCTGCAGCCCACAGATGACATGACCAACTGGATGCACCATGAAGCCCGCAAGGGACACTTTGGTGCCAAACTCGGCTGGTTCGTTGATTGTCGTCCCATGATCTGCGATGCCACAGCCTTGACCATTAAAGGCTCACTTGCACACAGCTTGATGAACTCACCACGAGGCCGGTCGTGTTGTGTTGTGTTGTGTTGTGTTGCACTGCAGGACGCGCTTGAACTTTCCGTACTTTTTCACCGACGAGCAAGCCGATTACGTCAGCAAGGCCGTTGCCCTGGTTGCCGTGCATGGCTGGCGGATGCTCAAGCACTACAACTTTGACGTTGTCACTGGGTTTTGGACGCACAAGGACTTTACCCCAGCGCCGCGCCAATCCCTACTCAACCTGTTCAACGAGAGCTCGGAGCCCAGCCGAGATCCCTTGGCCGTGCCCGACTATGACGCCTTGTTGCGCGAGGGAGAGATCATTATGACCGGTGGAAAAGTTGACGAGTGGTCTGAGATTTTGCGGCAGACGGAAAGCCGCCACAGTGCCGATTCAGGGGTCAGTGTCGATTTTACAGTGGACGACGATTCCCCCCGCTGGTACCTGCTGCCCAGCGACATGGCCAGTTTCAGCGTGACTCTGTCCTTCAACAAGAGCAAAGACCAGAGCGGAAACAGTTCCCAGAACAATTCGCGTAAATCTTCCACGTGGAACCCGCCCTCCAAGGCAACATATACGCCGGTCGCCCGGAAAGATCGCAAAAAGGAACTTGAATGCGCTGACGGAACCTGTCAGCTGGTCATGTCCGCTCCCTGAGCGGTCGTCGTGGTTCGTGTTCAAGCGGTGGCATAAGCTTGCCCCCTTATCTCTCTCATCGATGGTCAAGCTCATCGTCAGGACTGTCCGTGTATCGCATGTCCTCGTTTGCGCCGTGTTGTGAGTAGTGTTGCGCCAGAGTCGCTTTACAAGGGGGTTGGAAATCCCGCTCATTGAACTGACTCCATTTATCAATTGAGGCCCAGCCGCCACAGCACCTTGATTCCGACAACTCCACATTGCCCACGGTTCAACCTCCCCATGTTATTCTGAAACTCTTCTGCCAGAGACTCCTGCGTTGGCGTGCATAGTCAACATAAACTTGTGCCTGTTCTACCTACTGCTGCTGTATATCTGCTACTGGTACTGTACCTGCTGCTACTGCTGCTGCACCTGCTCCTACTGCTACTGTACCTGCTGCTGTACCTGCTGCTTCTGCTACTGTACCTGCTGCTACTGCTGCTGTACCTGCTGCTACTGCTGCTGTACCTGCTGCTACTGCTGCTGTACCTGCTGCTACTGCTGCTGTACTTGCTGCTGCTACTGGACCTGCTGCCACTGCTGCTGTACTGTTCCTTCTGCTACTGGTACTGTTCCTGCTGCTACTGGTACTGTTCCTGCTGCTACTGGTACTGTACCTGCTGCCACTGCTACTGTATCTGCTGCCACTGCTACTGTATCTGCTGCCACTGCTACTGTATCTGCTGCCACTGCTGCTGTACCTGCTGCTACTGCTGCTGTACTGTTCCTTCTGCTACTGGTACTGTTCCTTCTGCTACTGGTACTGTTCCTGCTGCTACTGGTACTGTACCTGCTGCCACTGCTACTGTATCTGCTGCCACTGCTACTGTATCTGCTGCCACTGCTACTGTATCTGCTGTCACTGCTGCTGTACCTGCTACTACTGCTGCTACACCTGCTGTTATCTCTGCTTCACTTTTCGCTATTTCAATCACCCTCTCGGCTTTTAACTGTAAAAGCTCAAGTTTGTTAAAAAAAAATTCTGAAACTTTCAATCATTTTTAAATAAAATAAAATAAAATAAAAAGAAGGTCATGGCGACGGGGTCGTCGTCCCGGCTGCCCGCGGGCGCTGCTGCAGGTCAGAGTGCTCAAATGATGGATGATTGGCCGGATGTGGATGATGCCGAGGCTATTGAGGCTTGGATTCAGGCGCAGCTTGAGGCGCTGCCCGTTCCGACGCCTCGGAAACGCGCCTCTCCGGCAACGCTGGCCTTGGCGACGGGTGCGGCGGACAGTGCAGCGCGGCCAGAGGGCGTCGTAACCGATGCCTCGGTCGCCACTGGGCATGGGGAGTCTGCCATGATGGACGCGCCTCTGACCACGCGTACGAGCGCTTTACACCCGGCTACGCCGCGTCTGGGCTGGCGATCCATCAGCCAGCGCCTGGCGCATGCGCCTTCAGCTCCAGTCGACCCGGACACGGATGATCCCGACGACATTGACTCTCCAGCTTATCTCGAGCGCAAGGTGCAAATTTTACGCGCCGAACGCGCAGCCAGCTTGAGCGATGACAACGTCAAACGCAATGCCGGTCCACCGCCGCCTCATCGGCCCTCGAGCAGTGTCAGCCACGATCAACATTTGGATTCTGCGGCCGTCGCCCCACAAGACCGCCGTCCCTGGGAGCTCCTGGTCCGCGAGTTTGTCACAAAGTCTCAGCAGCTGGCGGAAGCGCATCACGCGGCACTGCAAGAACTTGCGGCGACTACTTTGCCGACCCCAATCCTGGCGTGGGGCGAACCTGCCCAGGACGACGAGGCCAACCAGCCAGCCCGTAACGAAGCGACCCCCGATACCTCCAGCGACCTGCCCGCCTCCCCCGCGAGTGCAAGTCACACAGGCAACAGTGCAGCAGACGAGGGACAGCCAAGCGCTAGCGGTTTGAATCTCAATCCTGCACCACACCCTCAAGCACAGCCTGCACAGCAATCCCGGCAAGCAGCAGCCAAACTTCAGGCACGCTTGGCTGAGCTGGAAAAAACGCGCCAGGCCAGCCAACAAGCCCGTCAACTTGCCTCTGCCAGAGTTTTACAGCGCGTCTTTACTGCTTGGTGTGCCCGTGACTTGTGGCGTCCGCGCTTGCACGCTGCACATGTGCAATACCAGGCCCAACAGGCCCGGGCCGCCACGCGCCTCCAGGCCCTTGTGCGGGGCTGGTTGTGTCGCCGGCGCTACAGCAGCGCCATAGCCACCGCCATCCAGCGCACAAGAGCCAAATCGAAACTGCTTCAGACTTGGTGCCACAGCGGGTTGGGTACAGGGCTCACTCAGCGCTGCCGTGGTGTAATCGTACGACAACGCATGGCTGTTGAACTTGCAGATGCCGCTCATCGTGGCTTGGCTGCACATCATCGAGCACAAGAGGAACAGGCTGAGCGACAGCGACTGGAAGCAGAGCGCCAGGCCGCCCTTCAGGCTCATCGACGACAGGAAGAAGAAGCTGCGCGCCTTGCCGCCCAACGGGCAGCCGAAGAAGCCCGCCTGGCTGAAGAGCGGGCTAAACGCCAAGCCGCCCAGCGAGCACACGAAGCACAACTGCAGCGGGCCGAACAGGCGCTCACCCAACTAGAGCTAGCTCGCCAACAAAGCTCTCCGCGTCTATTGGGTACGTGCCACCACATCAACATTTGAGGCTGACTCAGGCCCTCACGCCACTTTTTTCCGCTTCCTCACTGCCTCGCTCATTTCTGCAAAATACTCACCTCTATTTGGCTTTCACGTAGACGCCCTTCACGCTGTAACAGCGCCTCCTCGGGACGTCTTTGCCGACGATCCAGCCAGCCATGTCACTCTACGCACGCCCACCAGCGAGGTACCTGTCGTCACCAAACGTGACGTCTGGCCCCATGCCTGCATCCTGCATCCTGGCTCCTCTGATGTTGACACACCTCTTCTGATAGCATGCACCTACCATGCGAATCCTGAGCTCCGGCGGCCGCTGGTCCCATTTTCCCGGTTTCACGAGCCATCTTTCAGTTCTCCGGTAAGAAGCCACCCTCTAGATGGTTCACTGAACCTTCCCTCAACGGTCCTCGTCTCACCGTGCTCGCGCACAGGCTGCAGGGTTGTAACTTGTCAACCATCCCAGAGCTGGCCGCTCTGCCCCTCTTAACCTACCTGGATGTTTCACACAACAAGCTGGCCTCGATCAATGTGCACCACTTACCGTGGCTGACCTATATGAATGTGGCGCATAACGACCTGACTGCGTTGGAAGTCATTGAGACGGTATTCATTCACGTTGTGCCCGCTTGCTCGGCCCTTTTGAACGTCCAAGCTCTTGTGCTCATAAAATGAAATGAAATTCCTCTTCCTTGCACGCTTAGCCCTCGCTTCGTCTCTTAGATTGTAGTCGGAACCAGTTGACCACCTTCCCGACGTGGCCGGCACCGCTGGCGCAGCTGCAGCACCTGGATGTTAGTCACAATCAGCTACAGGATCTGGGTGGTATTCTCAGTCACGTGGCACCTGGGCTGCGTCGGCTTGTGGCGCTGGATAACCCGCTTCAAAAGTTGACCGTGGATGACATCCCTGTTTTGACCACGGCTACCATCAGCGTCGAGACTTGGGGAACCGCGGTGGGCGTCGACGAAGCCGAGCGCTGGCGCATTGTCTCTGGTGATCGGGCCAAAATGATGATAACCCTACCTCGACTCGCCCCCGAACATCCAGCCTGGGCAAAACTGGAAGCGGCAGCCCCCCTCGTGGAATTGAATCCCTTGCAGACTTTGGTGCAAACCGACGGCTCGGTGGCAGAACTTTTGGCTGCGCTCCGTCGCTGGCTTGCGCTAACCAACTCCCATGCCGTGCAACCCAAAGACTTGGATGCGTTGTGGCCGCTGGCCCCAAATCGGCGCAAGCACGTTGCAGCCACCCGTATTCAGGCCGCTTGGCGAGGGCATCATTTACGCCGTCATTTGGATGCCATTTTACACAATGTCTTTGCCGTGAACGCTGGTGCTTCGAATGAGCATGGCGAAGATGATCAGGTCCTCCGTTTCAACGAACCAGACGCGTCGGATCTGCTCGACTTGGAGCGTGCTCCTCGAAAAACCTCAGGGCCAACTATGAGTCGCAGCAAAGTGCGCACTGGCAATGTCACGCCCGCCGATGCTCGAGCAGAGGCAGCGGTTTCCCAGGCCACTGAGCCCGTCCCGTTGCCCGCTCCTGATCGGTGGATGCAGCCCATGTCTGCCACCTCGCGTCCCCGTTCGGCCCAAGATCTACCCCCGGTCCGTGCATCACGCGATGCCCCACCTAACCACGATGCCACAACCCGAAGCCTTCCGCCCGAAGCCAGCGACCGCGCGGCTCTGCTCTACACCCAACGTCAAAAAAGCGCTCGGGCCCAACATCACAAGAGGCGCTCCACCTCGGTCTGTTTCATTGTTTTGCAACAAGTCACCCAAATTGTTTTTTTATTGTGCATTTCCTTCGGCTCTTGTCTCATTCGCGCACGCTTGTGTTTGTGCTGGCGTTTGGTAGACATGGAAGTAGCTGGAGAGGCCAGTTTTGGCAGATAGCCGGATTCTGATTTGATTGAATATGCGCTGGTCGCAAGGCCACTTGCAAAGGGGTCGAGGCTTGTCATTGAGCAACAATGTCAAAAATCCAAGCCACCCATTTCTTCTTTTTGATTTTGCTACGGGCCGCCCGATTGAGTTTAATCGAGCCAAAGACGCCCGGGCTAACTAAGAAGTGCCAGGATTTTCTTCGTGTCGGTAAAATTGGTACCCTAAGACCATGGACAGAGTAAAAAAAGCATTCAGGGCAGTCATATAAGCGAATTTGTCGGTGCAAAATTGTGGACGCAGGGGATACCTCTGCGACACAGCCTTGGATCAAACTGTTGAGATGGGATTGTGCTGCCTCGGGCAGGGTCGATAAATTTTCTGCAACCTGCATGACAATCTCCTTGACAATGCCGGTTTGGTTGGCCTAAAAGCGGCGGCATTCAATCTTGTCAGCTATAGTATAGACATTTGTGCACCTCAAAGAGAGGCAATGGTTGAAAACGGAAAAAAAAAAAAAAAAAAAAAAAAATTAATGGGGCGTGCTTGACTGACCTCAACCGATAACGTCAAACACTCTTGCAACAGGCGCAAGGCATAAAAGCTATAATTGCAAGCGTTGCTGGCATGAGTTAAAAGTGCAAATGTTCTGCGCTTAGCCCTTGCACCAACTCTTAGACACTTGAACGAACTTGTAAGGGTCCACCAGAAGCACTTCGTCGACGACATAAGTCGCAAGGGTCGGGATGGATACTAGTTTGTAGGCCAGCAGCATGCGCCAGAGTGCCGACGCGATGGCCGAGTTGAAGTTGAGCGTAGCTACTAGTTGATGTGTGAGAACATCCTCATCAAGTCCAAGCAACACTGGCAAGAGCCCGAGCCTAGCAAATGGGGGGTGAATTGAGGCTAATCGCTTGCTGTTGTGCTAGCAACGACAAGGCATGGCGGTGTGCACCCACTGTTCAAGACGGTGCACAATGCCCATGTGAAATTGCTGAGACTGGAGGCCAAGCAAAAGCGCAACAAGGGCCAGTCGTTGACCCTCCTCCAGTGCTGCAAAGCATGAGCAAATCACAAGTCAGTAAACACTATCCGAACAAGGCCGGCGTGCTGGTTGATTAAGCGTAGGCCTCGAGACACGCGAATGTGCCACGCGCACACAGTTTAACGATAGAGACTCACCTTCCAGGCCTTCAATGGGCGCGGCACTGAGGGCATCCCGCAACGAATCAGGGAGCGCGCCGTCATCATTGGCCGAGGCTACCAGTATCGGTTGAAAACGGCTGCATATGAGTGCCCGGCGTGCATAACGGCTGGGAAAATAGCGTTCATACCTGCCGGTGAGGCGGTCGCAAGGAGAGATATCAGCTGGTGACCACGGGGTTCTGCCTCGCCCTCTGCGTTTGTCAGGGTTTCGGCAAACCAGGCCGAAAGTGGGGCAGTCTCGCGAATGGGCGGGCTTTGCTGTGTATAAATGTGATGCTCGGCCTTGAGGTCGCGGCGCAGGCGAGCTGGATAGCTGAGCCTGTGGAATGCACGTGGACGAGGAGTGAGCGGGGTGATGCTTTTTCACATTTTAAGACATTTGTGTCCTGATCACGTCAAAAGATTCAGGGTCCTAAATGGGCACGCACTCGATGGCTGCGCCCAGGATGCATAGCGCCAAACTGCAACGTCGTGGCTCGTTCTACGAGTAGGAGCAATGCGCCAAGTGTCAGTGTTTCATGTAGAGCGTGAACTGGCTCGTTGACGCCAAAATAAGGTCGGCAACAGGAACACACAGAATCGAGGGCCAAGCTGATGAGAGGCCAGGGGAGATCCCATTCAATCTGAGCGCCAAAACGGGCGAGCACACCAGCCAGTCGAAGCTGCGCCAAGGTGGAGAGATATTGCCCACGCTGTAAGGCAGCCGCCATGACGTGAATGGAAGCCTCGGCAAAGTGCGCCTCCCTACCATGACAGGCACGCGCATGAGGACAGGCACGCGCATGAGGACAAGCACACAGTGTGCGAATGTGTGTGCTGAGTGCGTGGGCAAATGAGACGAATGACGATGATGATGGTGATGGAAGAAGGGGAGGGCCGAACCGCATAATGTCCCTTAGAAGATACTCGACAAACGCCCGAAGGCGGGCAACACCATGCATCGCAAAGCTGATCAGTTCCTGAAACACGGGGCAATGCCGAGGAGTTAGGCAGTAGAAAAGGAAGGAAAGCGGGGATCCTGGTTGCATGTCCGAGTGAAGCGGTGCGTACGAAGCTTGGTGCTTTGCGTCTGCGCTTACTTCAATGACGGGGACTGTGAGGTCATGACTGTAGCAGAGATGCATGAGCTGCTTTAACTCGTCAATGGCGGTCCGGGCTTCGCCACGACACTGGGCCACGATGCGACGAACGAGACGTTTGATGAAGAAGCGTTCAACGGTGCCTGGGGGAGGAACCACGACCTCTTTGGGCAGGTGTTCGGGCAGGACAAGGTCAAGAAAGCCAGCTCGAAGGTCAAAGCCAGACTCTTGCCGAGGACCTGTGGTGACGGCTGATTCGACGTCCCACTTGACCACCATCTCGTGCTGGTAGCCATCAGATAGTTCAGCAGCAAAGTGGATGTAGGGGCGATGAACGAGCGTTTCACGCCAAGATTGCTGTTCAAAGTGTTTGAGACAGTGCAGGGCCGTGGCCGCAATGCCTGCAGGCTCAATCAGAAGGTCTGTTGTTCCTGGGGCTGCAGCAGGACAGGTTCTGTTGGTGATGCAGTGGCGGTGAGGTGCGGGGTGAAAATTGAGCTGAGGCCGATCAAAGCAAAGGAGGGGGCGAACGGAGAAGGCGGGTGAACGGGGGGGGGAATGCAACTTGCTCGAGATGTTCGCGGAGGGTTTGTAGAAGCTTTTGGAAGAGTTTTGGAACCCGATTGCTGAGGTCGCGGCTGCAGAGGACCATCAATTCGACGAGGGCCAGCAAAATCTCGAGTCGATCGGCAGGGTGGAGGTCGGCGTTGGCGGCCAGGGCTTCCAGGAGATCAAGGACCATGGACACGAGGGCTTCCGGGGTCAAAGAGCAGGCGTTGCAGCAGTCACCGGCCAGAAGCAGCAGGTTGGCCAGCCGATCAAACTGGCGGCCTGCGAGCGCATGACGAAGGCTTGAGGCCAGGCCATCCACAAACTAGGAGCCGATGATGGCGAACCAGGTGGTTGCAGGGAGATGCGGGGCGAAGGGTGAGTGGACCGTGAGGTGGCAAAGCTGAGGGGGTGAGACACGGAACGAGGCAGGGAGGTGACGGTGTTGCGAGGCCACGGGACAATGAGTATGGATAACTGCAAGAAAAGGCTCTCACCATCCGACCGAGGCGCGAGTCGCGGGCGTTGACGAGGCTGGCAACGGTGCTCACAGCAGTCGTACTAGCAGGGTGTCGATAGGCACTGGTGCAGGCGGATGAAAGCGAACCAAGGTGAGCTCAGCCACTCTAGGCTACAGCTTCCATCTCTCCGGGCCAAGCTGAAAGGGCTTTGATCACCGGCAAGCGTGCATGGGCACATTCACATCACTTGACCGGGCGGCGAGTGCAGTGCGCGGGGACGTACTGGGCCAGCAGTCGATCGGCGACGTCGACGGGGTACGGCACCTGGTTCACGTCCTGCATAAAGGCTTCCGCAATATGCAGCAGGGTGTTTCGGTACTGCGAGACGGCCAGCTGGGACGGGCAGATCGGTAGTGAGTGAGCCAAACGGTGAGCCGCGAACCGTTGGCCGCTACGCGCGAGCCGCAGCCCCCGCCTCGTGTTCACCCCCCTGCGAGGCCGCTCGTCCCCACAGTCAACCCTCCGCTCCTCCCCTCCACTTCCTCCTCCACCTCCTCCCAATTCTACGCCAGTCACCTGCGCCATCCAAGAGCTGGAGGAGGAGGCTGCCACTTACATCGCTCTGCAGCGCCGACAGCGCTCCCGGAAGCGCCATTCCTCTCCGTTTCGTCAACAGAGAGAGAGTGAGAGAGAGAGAGAGAGAGAGAGAGAGAGAGAGAGAGAGAGAGAGAGAGAGTGTGTGTGTGTGTGTGTGTGTGTGTGTGTGTGTGTGTGAGTGAGAGAGAGAGAGAGGAAGTGCCGATGTTGAGACAGAGAGAGAGAGAGACCGAAAAAAAGTCAGAGAGTGAATGGGTTCAAAAGGAAAAAAAAGACAAAATGAGTGTGGTAAAAAAGGGGAAGAAAGAGAGCGTGATTGAGACGGACATGGAGTCAGAGATCGAGAGGGATCAAGAGGGTTATTAGAGAGGGGCATAGTTCTCTTCGTTTTTTCCCCCAGCGACGCGCAGAAATAGAAAGGAGAGTACGACGGGACAGCAACGAGCGGCGCGAGGTGGTTGCTGCCTGTGGTGGGGTGAAAGGGCATCCATCTACCAAGCATGAGCGGCAACGGCCCAAGAAGTGATCAACTTGCAACTTTTGACAGGACCATCAATTTTGCACGGGCTCTGGTGTGTGATGCCGAGCCAGCGCAGTGGGAGGAGAGATAGATCAGAAGAGGTGGCCCGATATGTGTGTATGTGTGTGATTGAGGCACGGCCACGACATGAGAGAGGCGAGGAGGAGGAGAAAAAGAAGAAGAAAAGGGGAATAGGTCCTACCCCTTGATCAACAAGGGAGAAGGAGATCTTGAGAAGAAGAAGAGGAAGAGGGGGGAGCAGAGACGGCTTAGTTGTCGTTGGCCCACTTGATGCCCTTCTCGATGGAGGCCTTGAGCTCGGGGATGACCTCGGTGTCGAGCTTGTGCTTCTCGTAGTCGCTGAGCTCGCCCAGGCCGAGGTTGCGCTCAATGCCGTTGACGCCGAGCTCAATGGGGGTGCTGAAGTACTGGCACTCGGTCACGTCCGACTCGACCATGGCGCACTCGACAATGCCCTTCTCGCCCTTGAGGGCGCGGATGAGGGAAAAGGCAAACTGGGCACCGGCCCAGGCCATGGAGAGGGTGGCCGAACCGGCACCGGCCTTGGCCTGGACAACCTCGGTACCGCCGTTCTGGATGCGGTCCGTGAGGGCATCACGGTCCTCATCGGAGAAGGAGCAAGAGGGCTCGACACGGGAGAGCAGGGGAAGGATGGTACCACCGGCGTGGCCGCCAATGACGGGGACGTTGATCGACTGGGGGTCAAAGCCCTTGTTCTGGCCGATAAAGGTGCGGGCGCGCACAACATCGAGGGTGGTGACACCAAAGAGCTTGCGGGGGTCGTAGACACCGGCCTTCTTCAGGGCCTCGGCGGCAATGGGGACCGTGCTGTTGACGGGGTTGGAGATGATGGCAATGCAGGCCTCGGGGCAGTACTTGGCGCAGGCCTCGGCCAGCGACTTGACAATCGAGGCGTTGGTGTTGAACAGATCGTCACGGGTCATACCGGGCTTGCGGGGCACACCAGCGGGGATGATGACAATCTTCGAGCCAGTCAGCGCGGCGCCGAGCTCCTCGTTGCCGACGTAACCGTGGCACTACGAGCAGGAAGGGGGAAGGAAAAAAAAAAAAAGCAATGAGGATGACAGATTTTGAGACGAGAAGCGTACACGAGAAGAGCACAAGTCGTGTGCCAGGGGGAAGAACAACAAAGGCTTTCGCTCAAGGCGAGAGGGCAAAAGAAAGAAATGACTCGAAAAGGCGACTTCAGTCCAGTGGCACGTGATGCAAAGGTGTGTACCACCAAAAGGAAAAAAAAAAAAAAAAAAAGAAAGGATCGGGATGAAACAATGGCAGTGGTCAGAGTCGGGAAAGGTGCGAGCCAACCGAGAGCACGGAAGAAATTCCAAATTAAAAAAGAAAAACGACAGGCCTCGCACACTGCCATCAGACAAAACAACCAGGGCAATGCATGTTTTGTTCTGTTTTGTTTCTTCCTGGCCAGTGATTGGATTGGCAGGTGCGCGGCGAGAAAAACAACAACCACCTTGATGGCCTCGGGTACGTTCAACCCCAAAGAGCATTATCATCCCCATGCGCGTGTGTGGGGCGGGCAGTGCTGCACAGACAAAAGGACACAGCCGAAGCAACAACCAGATTCGGGGGCAACTTGTTGAGACTTACGCTGGAGGGGGTATCAATGTGGCTGAGGTCAGCGGCGACACCCTTGGCATGGGCGAGATCGTAGACGGCCACCTCCGAGACGTGGGCCGGGGGGTGGGAGATCTTCATGAGCATGGAGAGGGGCTGGCCAATACCGCCAGCACCACCCAGCACCGCCACCTTCATGTCCTGCGCCATGATGAAAAATTATAAAAATACAAAAGATAGTGAGTGAGAGAAGAGAGAGAGAGAGAGAGAGTGAGTGAGTGAGTGAGAAAATGAGTGTGTGTGATAGAGAAAGAGAGAGAGAGAGAGATGTAAAACGTGTAAGAAAATGTTGTGTGACAGCAACACAGTGAAAGCCTGTGTGGTGTGTGTGAAGAGAGAGAAAGAGGGGAAGAAAGAGAGAGAGTGCAAGAAACCTGTCATACACAACACACACACTGGCACACCGAGGACCCAACACAAGGGGGAAATTGGTTACCACAGCAGTAGCAGCACACAGACACACACTCATCATGATGATCGATTGACCAACACACACACACACACACACACACTGGCCAGCTCAACTCCAAACTCAACACCTTCTTCGCTTTTGGCACGGGGCCCCAGATAAGCAAGGAGAGAGAGCGCCGACTGAGGAAAGGCCTGTGATGTGTGTACGTGGACGTGTCTGAAGAAAAAAGAAAAAAAAAAGAGGGCACAAGCTCGAACATGTACATGTCACAAGTGCCAAAGACTCCGCTGGCTCACAGTACCAGAGGCGCCAGCAAAAAAAAAAAAAGCCTTGACCTCGAGAATGTACAAGACATCACGGCCACAAGCCACCAACGCTGTGCGTGTGTGTATGTGTGTGGGCGGAAGCGAGGACAACAGAAAGACAAAAAGGACGCTCGCGTTTCAGAGTTCAGAGAGAGACAGCGCCCAAACGACGCCAAAAGCGGGCACACAGGCCTCAAGCCCCCCAACGACAACAACCCAAGGACAGAACGTCGACCTCCCCCCATCTTCCCTGCCAGAAGACTCGACAATCACGGCGCTCTGCCAAGGACCACAGAACCCAGTACAGTATCGGGCAGCGCGCACATGTTCACAAGCAAGACGCCACATTCTTTTCGAGTTGAAGATAACTTAAACTTACGTTGCTGCCAGTGGACATGGCACGGAGCGCCGTCGAGGCAGCCGACTGCGCCGAAGCGCTACGCAGAGCATTGACCATCATCATCTTGAACGGTGTCGTGTGTGTGTGCGTCGAGTCCTCGACCTCTCTCTCTCTCTCTCGGTTCGAGCGCGCGGTTTTTTTTTTTAATAAAATACAACACAAATGGCAGACTAAGGTTAGGAGTGGAAGTCAGAGGGACGGCAGTCGGATGGATAAAGTTGCAGAGAGTCTTTTAACACTGGTCTCAAAATCAGAGATATATTGGAGAAAGCGATGGCCAACAGCACGAAATTAAACAGTAAAAAGGAGATTATTGTTAAAAGCAGCTTCTTTCAGAGAAGTATGCAGTCTACAAGGAAAAGTCAGAGAGGTGAGAAAGGCGCCACATGGTTCAGGAACAATGTGCACGGCGTATCATGGCAGAGCGACACATGCCGACCGCACTCCGGGCAGAGATTGGGGTGTCAACCGGTTGCATCCTGACCAAGAATGGCTTTGAATTCCCTCACCACCCAGAGGTGGTGGTAACCACTGCTCATCTGCAGAGACCATCGCATCGCACGATCCGCGATCGGGCATGCATGCAGGTGTAGCAGTCGTAACGTGTTATCCATTCACACCTGACTGTCAGGTGTGGTCTTGCTTCTTCTCTCGCAGCTGCACATTACCACGAATTGCAAGTTGATTCTCCTACACGCTCAAGCAACGCGTTTTAATCATGGAAAAATGTAACATATGTCACACTGTTTGTGTCTCATGCCGTCAGGTGGTGCTACTTGGCAGGCAATTGTCAGAGTTTCGAGTAAATGTCAATGTCAGATAGATGTAGATAACAGGTGTTATGAACGCGACTGCGCCGGTGCTCAGCCCGCTGCCTCGTCGACCTGATCGCGCCATCTCATTCTTCCAGCGTGCGTGCTGTCTCCCATCGCCGCGGCGACGACATCACACGGGACCGCACATGGCCCCCAGTCAACCACCTCCCCGGAGCCAGCCGGGATAGTACTGTACATGCATTGACCATTCTTCTGATTTTAGATCACGGACATGCTCTGCTACGTAAAAGACCCATGATGACACGATCGTCCGCCCGCGCACAGCTGGCGCGCCGAAACCCACACGCAGCACCCCAACCCCATACATCCCCGTCGTGGGTTCCTGCTTCACACGAAACGGTACGGCAGTGCTGCAGCGTCATCCCCCTCGACAATGAACGACCGAATGCTCCTTCCTCATCTACATCCATACATGCATGCATGCATGGACGTTTGACTGATTCGAGTGCCAAGCCCCGGAAGCAGGTGGGGTGGGGCCAACCTTTTCCTCGTGCACTGCCCTTTTCACTCATCGCCTCACCCACCACCTCGCCACTCGCCTACCTTGCTGTAACTGTCCTGCGCCCCAAAACTTGGGGGCGAGCTTTTCTCCGTGTCGACTGTTCGTCACGTGCGGACCGTCCAGATCCTTGCTTGCTTGCCTGCATCCACCACTATACCCAATGTGTCATGGTGTCACCCACCCCTGCATCTCGGCTGTCATGTCCGCCACGACCTCTACCTCATCCGTGATTTTCAAACGAGTTTAACCGTCGGCTAGGCGTCGTCAGTGAGGAATTCAAGCCGAGGCTGACGACCGCCTTCCCCCTTGTCCTGTCCTTTTTGAGGCCCTCTCACGTCCAACCATCTGTATGTTTCTGACCTGCATGCAAACGCCACCACCTGCGCTCCCCACCCCCATCCCCACAACACTCACTCACTCGCACACACTCACACACACATTCCGTCCCTTCCTCCATTCTTTCTTCCATTCCCCTTCTCATCGCGTCAGCCCGGACCAGTCGTTGCTAAAGACGACTTTGGCCGACCACGCCCCCCCTTCCCACCCACACCCCACCACGACCTTCAAACGAATCACAATCCAGCCTGCGAAAGTGCCGCCCATCTATGTCACATACACCTTCACATACACAGACACATACAACCGTCGCGCGCATGGCCTCTCCCTACCCAACCGCTACTCACCTTGTTGTTGGCGCGCTGTTGCCCCCACCTGCCTGCCGCCGTCTGCTTTCCACCCAGTTGCTCCACCGGCATTTTTTGCTTCATCACGCGTGCCATTTTGCTTTTTCTCCGAGCCTCTGCCACCCTGCCTTTGACGCACGCCTGGAACACCTTCACTGCCTTGGGCTCCGCTGCCATGTTTCGTCTGTTGGTGGCCGGCTTGGTCGTGGCTGCTCTCGGTTTGTGTCCTTGCGCTGCCGTGCACGACCCTCGTGTTGAAGACGCACGACACATGCCGTCTCACCCTTGTGCCTTGCTGTTGTGACGCTGCCTGCAGCCCCCTCGACATTGGCCGAGTACATGATTTTTGGCGACTGCAATGCCAACCGCAGTGATTCCGTCGTCACCTACACTGTTTACCCCGCCGACACTTGCATGGGCTATCCTGATGGCTTTTCGGAGCGCAACTACTGCGAAAACGGCCGCGTACGCCGCCCCCCCCGCCTCCCCCCCCCTTTTTTTTTCGGGCCTCTTTGCCCTTGCTACCTTTACTGCCCTTGCTGCCCTTGCTGCCCTTTCTTCTCGTTGGGCAAGCATGTGCGTGTGGGCATGTGTGGAGGCAAAGCCAAGCCTCATCCCTCGCTTGGTGCTGATCATGTCATTAGGCCTACTTTCGTGTCTGGAATGATGTTTCCAACTGCTCCGGGGTGAGTCTTGTTGCCGATAGCGCGGAGAGAGGGGATGAGAAAGGCCACCTCGCGTCGCCATGTCACGTGGCTGCCATGTGCTCGCCTCACCTGACACGCAACGACGATGCCCTGGTGCGGTTGATACCATAGAATGCCGATGCCGCCTTTAGCTATCCTGTGAATACCTGCAACGATGGCTATGAGTTTTATTGCACGGAAGAGCTGCCGACGGACGTTGTGGCACACATCACTTACCATGAAGACAACGGCTGCAGCGATGAGCCTTTCCACATGAAGCTGTTGGCCGAAACCTGTACGCGGGGTCACAGCTCGGCGTCGGCCAGCGTCTCCTGCAGCGGTAACTCCTTTAGCATCACCTCCTATACTGAGTCAGACACGTGCGACGCCGCGACGCCTTCCAAGGTCAAGCAGTTTAACATCGGCGAGTGCTTTGACGATCGCGCGTATGACGATGACGTTGTCGACATGGATGATTTCAACTGGTGCGTCCCGTCGGCGGCGCTCTGTAAACGGCTGTCTTTGTATCTGTCTCTGCCTCTGTCTCTCTCTGTCTGTCCGTGCTTGAAGTCTTTTGTCGAATACTGACGTGTGGTGTGCTTGTTTGCGCGCGACGATGTAGGCGTGCCAATGATGGCGATGACGCTCAAGATGATCTTTGGGTTGATGATGACCCGAACGATACCCCAGCGCTGGTAGCCCGTCGTTCCACACTCCCGGTCCCGGCTGTCGAACTCCTAGGCGTGGCACCACGGGCGCGCTCGCGACGAAGCGCAGAGCAATGGTCGGTTGCCATTGGCTGTGGCCCATACGACCCCTTTAGCACGTCTACATTCACCACGCGCACCACCACCACCACGGGCGCTGCTGCTGCGGCCCTTCCCTGGACAATGTTGGGCCTGTTTGCGGCTCTCCTGGCCCGACTGTCCCTCTAAGCTCTGCCAGCGCATAGCAAGCTGGGTGGGCCCGGCTCGGCTCTCTTGCTCTGTCTGTGTGTCTGTATTTGTGCTTCTGGTTCTTGTTTTCTTGTTGCGCCATGCTTTAAATTTTTGTAAAGGAGTGCTGTCCGTCCCTGTCTCGTTGTTCCTGACCGGTTTTTCTTTTCCCGCTTCGCGAGAGAAGTCGTGTCGCGCCACCACCAGCATGTTTGCCCCCAAGCGGGCATATTCACGGGACGGTGCGTGTGTGCGTTGTTTCTTGACCACACGGGGCAGTCGTGTCTTTCTCTCTTTAGACCCGTACCCTTTCTGCCCTTGCTACTTTGTAGCTGTGTTTTTCCCTCGTTGTGCCTGCTTTGGCGCCTTTCTTTCCGTGGCGCAGTATCTCCAGATGCTGCTGCTTGGAACGTGCCCAATCTGACGCTGACCGTGGACATGTCGCTGCCTTTTCTTTTTCTTTTTGACTGACCTGTGTTATCTCCTCTCCGTCTTATCGTCTTCTTGAGATGGGTTTTTTGTTGGACCCTCCCCTGGACTGCGTCAACAGGCAATCGAAGTCCCTTTCTACTTTTTGATCTTTGTCGCGCGTCCCAAAGGCGGATGGCTGCGGACTTTTGTGCCGATGACGTTCCCTGTGACTGTTTGCTCATCTTTCCGCCCGTCGATCAAGGTGGATGTGTAATCTGCGTCTTTGCCAGTCTGCCGCCGAGACTGCCAGCCGCCAGCCGCCAGCCGCCAGCACTTTCTGAGCTCAAAGACGGACTGTGAAACATCATCTTGACTTATGACCCGGTTACTGTATCTAATATAAAAGTTATTGTAGATTATCAGAGGAAACGCAAGGCAACATAGTGTAAAATAACTTTGAGTTTATGAAGTAATTGATGCGGTTAAAGTAATACGAGTCGCACGCCCCAATCTCGATTCCCATCGCTGCGATTCAAAGTCATAAAAGTGACGAGCTCAGCTCGCCAGCAACCCCGTCTGTGCCCTCTCCGTACGTGTATGTGTGATAACGCCGTCAGTGAC